TCCCCTCCCCATTCCCCAGCAGTGACCCCGTCCCCTCCCCGACCCCCTGTGACTGACCGCTGAGCCGACCATGAGAGCGATGTCCTTGAAGCGGCTGAAGACGGTGTGCACGGTGAGTGGGGCAGGGGGGAACATGGTTCTTTGAGTGCTGCGGCTCGACTCTGCCACCAGCCCCAGGTCCCCCTTCTCCTGGGCTTCGGCCTTTACCTTACTGAGCTGTCGGCCTGGTGGGGGGCACACAGAGACAGCGAGGTTAGGAGAGTTTAAAATAATTCCAAGGTTGGGTGGGGGGGCGCGTTAAGAGAGAGAAAGGAGGAGGAAGAAGGTGAGAGTGGGAGAGAGTAAGCGGGATTGAGAGTGTGTGGGGGAAGAGTGAGAGAATGGGGATAGACAGTGTGCGGGGTGAGGGGAAAGAAAGGGTGTGGCGGGGGAGAGAGTGTGGGGGGGACAGAGAGAGTGTGGGCGGGGAGAGAGAGATTGCGGGGGGAGGAGAGAGAGTGCGGGGGGAGGACAGAGAGATTGCAGGGGGGAGAGAGAGAGAGAGAGTGTGAGGGTGCGGGGTGGAGAGAGAGAGAGAGAGACAGAGCCAGGGGAGGGGAAGGGTGAGTCAGAGAGAGAGCAGGTTGGAGAGACACAGGTTGGAGGAGGTGGGGAGAGCGAGTGAGAGAATGGCGGGGAGAGAGAGAGAGAGTGAGACAATGGGAAAGCGAGAGAGAGTGTGAGTGGAAGCGGGGGTCATGAGGAGAGAGAGAGAGAGAAAAAGAGAGAAAGTGAGAGAGATGGGGGGACGGGGATGACAGAGAAAGAGGGCGCTGAGAGTTTGGGGGAAAGGGAGAGAGTGGAGAGAAAGGGAGAGTGAGACAGAGATAAACACAGAGTACGAGGGTGAGGTTGGGAGGTTAGACAGAAAGTACGAGTGAGCAGGGTGCAAGGAGAAACAGACAGAATGAGAAACAGTCAGACAGAGTGTGGGTCAGCAAGAGGCAGGGAGGGGCAGAGAGGGACAGACAGAGTGAGAGGAAGCAGGAGGAGAGACAGAGAGTGACACAGAGCAAGGGAGAGCACAGGACAGAGGGAGCCAGGGTGAGAGATAGTAGGGGGAAAGAGAGGGAGACCGAGCGAGTGGGGAGCAGGGGACAGAGAGAGCGAGTAAGGGAGAACATGGCGAGAGGGGATTGGAAGGAGAGGTATGGGGGTGGTGGTGGGGAGATGAAAGAGATCAGACAGACCTGTTGCCTGTGCCACAGCTTTCATGAGGACGGTGTCTCCAACGCCGAGTTCCAGGCCCTGGTAGGCAGGCGCCAGCTGGTTCAGGCAGAGGTAGATACAGGGCAGCAGATCGCCAGGACTCAGAGCAATCACCGAACGGTACAGATTACCCAGAGTCTCGATAATCTTCATCCTGTGTTTGTGGGGGGTGGTTTCGAAACGGCAACCGGACAACACAAACGTTAATTCTGAACAGCTAGTAAACTCCGGGAGGGCTCGTAGTCTCTCGGTATTCCTGCCCCTCCCGGGAGGGGCTCACAGTCTCTCGGTATTCCCCCCCAGGAGGGAGTCACAGTCTCACGGTATTCCCTCACGGAAGGGGGTCACAGTCTCTTGGTATGCCCCCACGGGAGGGGGTCACAGTCTCTCGGTATCGCCCCCACGGGAGGGGTCACACTCTTTTGGTATTCCCCCAGGAGGGGTCACAGTCTCACGGTATTCCCCACGGGAGGGGTCACTGTCTCACGGTATTCCCCCCGGAAGGGGTCACAGTCTCGCTGTATTCCCCCTGGGAGGGGGTCACAGTCTCATGGTAACTCCCCCAAGGAGGGGGTCACAGTCTCATGGTATCCCCCCCAGGAGGGGTCACAGACTCTCGATATTCCCCCCCGGGAGGGGATCATAGACTCTTGGTATTCCCCTCCAGGAGGGGATCACAGTCTCTCGGTATTCCCCCCCCCAAGGAGGGGTCACAGTCTCTCGGTATTCCTCCCGGGAGGGGTCATGGTCTCTCGGTAGCTCCCTGCTGCCCCACACCCTCACCCCACCGGAGGGGTCACAGTCCATAATTACCCCTCCATTCCTCCAGTGAGGGGTCGCTGTCTCCCTTTACCTCCCCCTACCCCCGTCACTGTCTCCAATTACCCCTTGGTGAGGGGTCTGTGCCCCTCATTCCTCCACGTGTTTGGCCCAGGCACAAACCCTCTCGGGACGGGTAAGGTGTGGTATTAATGACCTACCTGGCCGTCTCACTCTCAATCTTCTCAAAGGTTTGAGCCAATGCCAGATACGGAACCCTGTTGGGGGTTAAAAAGAGAGAGAGAGAGAGAGAGAGACAGAGAGAGAGAGAGAGAGAGAGGGAGAGGGAACAGAGAGACAGAGAGAGTGAGAGTGAGATTGAGAGAGACACTCAGAGAGAGAGAGAGAGAGTGAGAGAAAGAGAGAGGGAGAGGGTGCACAGAGAGAGAGAGAGAGACAGAAAGAGAGGGGGTAAGGAGAAACAGAGAATGAGAAAGATACAGAGAAAGAGAGATACAGAGAGAGAGAGAGAGAGAGAGTGAGAGAGAGAGAGAGGGAGAGGGGGCAGAGAGAGGAAGGAGAGATGGTGAGAGAGATACAGAGTAAGAGAGACACAGAGAAAGACAGAGTGTGAGAGAGACAGACCGAGTGACAGAGATAGCGAGAGAGGGAGGTGGGGAGAGGGTGTGAGGGAGAGAGAGAGAGATCAGGATGGTACTGTTTCAGTCTCCCCCTCCCACTCTGACCCCCCCCACCCACAACCCAATTGGTGCCCTGGCCTGACCTCTGACCCTGACTCCAGCAGGCGTCCCTGACTGGGTGGTATTTCGGTTTGGAAGGATCATAGACGTTGGCGGGCACCGATGCTGGGCCAGCTTTTCCAGGGCTGAAGAACCTGTTGGAAAGAGATTGAGAGTTACCGTCTCCCCACTCCACCTCAAACACAGCCTCTCCCTCTACCTCTCGAGACCCATCAACCTCCCTCCCTCTACCCAACTCTGCCCACCACCCCCCATCAGAGGGGACTCTCTCCCTCGGCTCTGAGCCCACTCGCCAAGAAATGGCCCCCCACAACCCCATGCCCTACCCCACGTACCTGCTTATCGTGGGCTTGCTGGTTGAATCCGGAGTGCTATCCCCGTGCCCCGCCGTTGGTGAGGGGGTGTCCTGGTCTACCCCGACCTCTGGCTGTTTCCGGGGGCTTCTCTCACTCTCCTGGGCCGCTGAGGAAGAGGACTTCCTGGGAGCTGAGAGACACAGAGGTGTGGGGTTAATGAGGGAGTCACTCCACTGTCCCCATGGACCCCAAACCCCTTCCTGTTCACTCCCACTCTACACTGTCCCAATGGATGCCAAACCCCTTCCCGTTCCCTCCTGCTCTACACCATCCCCATGGACCCCAAACCCCTTCCCCGTTCCCTCCCGGTCTACACTGTCCCCACGGACCCCAAACCCCTTTCCATTCACTCCCGCTCTACAACATCCCCATGGACTTCAAAACCCCTTCCCGTTCACTTCCGCTCTACACCGTCCCAATAGGCCCCAAACCCCTTCCTGTTCACTTCCGCTCTACACCGTCCCAATAGGCCCCAAACCCCTCCCCGTTCACTCCCGCTCTACACCGTCCCCATGGACCCCAAACCACTTCCCCGTTCGCTCCCACTCCGCACCGTCCCCATGGACCCCAAACCCCTTCATCGTTTGGTCCCGTTCCACACCGTCCCCATGGACCCCAAACCCCTTCCTGTTCTCTCCCGCTCTACGCCGTCCCATTCAATGCTTTACCAAAGAAACTGCTGAGCATGTTTTTGTTTTTTTCTGGCGGCCTGCAGGGTCTCTCACTCTCGGAGGGCTTCCCTTTCTCTCCCGAGAGCTCCGTCTCCGAGTCGTGTTCCCCGTCGGATTCCTCGGGGTGAGCCCCGTCTCTGGATAGTGTGCTGCCTCCATGCTCCTCTGCGCCTCCGCTCTCTGCCTCCTCCTCGGTCCCTCCGTCACTCGGCAGCCGGGCTGGAGAGCCCTGATTGTTTTCCCCTGCTCCGTCCTCATCCGAACACTGCCCGTTTTCTTTGGGAATGGAAATTGCTGCAGTTGGGGGGTTGGTGAGAAGCGGGTGTTGAGGTGGTGGTGGGGAGGGGGGTTAAAATGAATCAAATTAACAGCCGATAAAGGAAACGGAGACAGACTCAGATTTCTGCTCCACACGCACCGCCCCCCGCCCCACCAATCCTGCTCCTCCAACCCTACCTTCCACCTTTGGGCGTTTGGCTGATCTCTCCGGGTCGCGATCCACTCCATCCCGCAGCGGCGTCTCGGGCCCCGTGTCCGCGCAGATCTCTGCCTGAAGTTTACGTTTCGGGAGCTGTTTGCGGGCTGTGGTGGGGCGGGGGGAAGGAGGAGCGAGACGGAGAGGTGTCAGTGAGGGTCACACAACGCGATGTTGTGGTGGTGGTGGTGGGGGGAAGCGACGAACGAGAACGCGGGAGGGAATCGAGGGGGTGGGGCTAATACCTGTTCGGCGTTTTGGAATGTCGGAGACGATGCCGGTCCGTGTATACGATGGAGACGATTGCCCTCCTGATTCTGGAGAAACCGGGCCAGACTCGGATCGCTGCAGGAACATGGGGAGGGAGAGAGAGGGAAGGAGGGGGGAGAGAGAGAGGAGGGAGAGAAGGGGTGGTGGACAGGGAGGGGCAGAGCGAGAGTGGGGGAAGAGAGAGGGAGAGAGAGAGAGAAAGAGAAAGAGGTTGGGGGGTGGACAGGGAGCGGGGGAGAGGGAGAGTTGGGGGGATAGAGAGAGAGGAGTGACAGATGGAGAGAGACAGAGGCAGCGGGGGACAGGAAGATAGACGGAGAAGGGAAAGGAGAGATAGACACAGAGGCAGGGAGACAGACACAAGACAGAAGGTCAGAGATTGGGGAGAGAGAGAGGTAGAGAGGAGGGGAGAAGGATAGATTCGGAGAGGGGTGGTCAGACACAAAGAGAGAGAGCAAGGGCAGCCATAGAGAGAGAGAGAGAGAGAGAGAGAGAGAGAAAAGACATCAGCGAGAGTTCAACAACTGTTTACCTATCGACCAAATAATTGGCTCAGCCTCTTCCAATGTCTTCAGGAGTGAAGCCTCCCTCCCCCCCGCTCCCAGGAGCGATCCCTCTCCCTCTCTCTGCCCCCACCCCATCAAGAGCAATCCCTCTCCCTCTCTCTGCCTCCTCCTCAGGAGCGATCCCTCTCCCTGCCTCCCCCTCAGGAGCGACCCCTCTCTCTGCCTCCCCCTCAGGAGCGATCCCTCTCCCTGCCTCCCCCTCAGGAGTGATCTCTCTCTGTTCCCACCCCCGCCCCTACCTCTGCCCCCTCCTCCTGACATACAAACACCACAGAGTGCGATGGGCAGTCCTGAAGAGGGCTGGGGAATGGGGTAGGTTCACAAGGCCCCACCTCGGCAGATTCCTCTGCTGGCACTTTGAGGAGTGGGTCATTCCTCCTCAGTTCCTCCTCCTCCGAGCCCGTCTCTTCGCCCTCTCTCTCGCCCTCGTCGTCGTCACTGCTATCCAGGATCCTGCGAGTCTCTCTCGCTGCCCGTTTCACAGGACTCTCCTCCCAGTCAGCGTTCGCGTGCACATTCCTCACCCTCAGCGGAGAGTTCCTGCGGGATAAGGGGAGGGGGAGAAACAGACACAGGATCACAACTGGGCTGGTGACGGGGAGGCACAGTGAAGTTCAGCAGGAAAGGTCGGTGTTAGATACAGAGTAAAGCTCTCTCTACACTGCTCCCCCCCATCAAACCCTTCCAGGGACAGGGACAGCACGGGGTTAGATACAGGGTAAAGCTCCCTCTACACTGTCCCGCCTGGCCAGTCAAACACTCCCAGGGACAGCACAGGGTTAGATACAGAGTAAAGCTTCCGCTACACTGTCCCCCCCATCAAACACTCCCAGGCAGAGGGACAGCATGGGGTTAGATACAGAGTAAAGCTCCCTGTACACTGACCCCCCATCAAACACTCCCAGGGACAGGGACAGACCCTGTGTCCCCACATTGACACTCAGACAGACGTGTGTCCCCTTCCCAGATGACTCTACCAGACACTGTGCCCCTCACGCTACCCCGAGAAGCTGCAGAGACTCACCCTGTGGGCGGACGCGAATCTGGATCCTTGATTCCCTCTTTCGGATTCACGGAGGGCCGGCCTCTCAGCGGCTGAAAGAAGGATCTGTGGGAGGAGAGGGTGAGGCTGGAAACGGCCAACTCCCTGACCCAGACCGATCCCATAGACCGATCCCCCTGACCCAGACCGATCCCCCGACCCAGACTGATCCCATAGACAGATCCCCCTAACCCAGACCGATCCCACAGACCGATCCCCCTGACCCAGACCGATCCCATAGACCGA